CACTGAGGGGGATCCGATCGGAGGAGCTGGTGGCGGATGACTTGGGCTAACCAGGCTGGATCGTTTGGTCCCTCCAGAACCTGAACCTCTTTGGTTGTCTACAGGATAGCTATTGCAACAGAAGGAGAGAGAGAAATAAGGGTATTAGCTGTGAGGCCAGATTAGGCCGTACAATCTCGATGTTAATGCAAATCATGTGTGTTTGTTGCAGTCCAGACAAAAAAAAAATATCTAAGTTCCAGCTTCAACTGGTGTTCCATGAGACCTCACACTCCTTGGTTTGAGTTCCCTCCTGGTGTTTCTTTTGGCCGACACCAGCAGAACAAAGGAAAGCTGCTGGGGACTGACAGAAATGCTATCATCTGTCCCATCTCCCAGGCTGACAAGAACATGAGCCATCTCACCTCCCCACCAGAGGCCAGGCGTCACGTCTGAGCTCAGAGCAGCCTCCTGCCTTAAGAGCTCCTGCAGCAATGCAAGCCACTACCCCTCCACGCTGAGGTCAGACTTATGACACGCCAAGCAGGGATGTCTACCGTGATAAATCGCACAAGGACTGGTGGGTGTGCCAGGAAAGCATATGCTCTGAACACCTGCTAGGAACAGATCTCCTCACTGGATTCCATGGCTCAGAGCTGAAGTGCAGCAGCCATGTCTCATAGCTCGCCATGGGGAGTGAAGAGGAAGACATGGAAGCCCAATGTGCTTTTAAGGAAAACACCGATTCCTGAGTGACCGAATCTCCCATTTACGGAAGCTGTGTTATACCAGAAAATACTACTGCCCATAAGATACTGTAATACCCTATGTACATGTAAAGGAAGCCCTAAATTGACATCTCCTTCCACAGTAGAACAGAAAAATAAGGTATGTTTGCCACAAAAACATCACAGTTTTTAACAGTTCACAGTGCTGTTCCAAGACAGACTGCTGGAGATCAAACCTAGCTCCCAGGGTTCTTTAAAAACAACCACCAAAACAAAACCAGAGAAGGGAGATCTCTGTGGCTAGGCAGAGATCTAAGCAACTGCATACAGCAGCATAAGCTTCATCTGAACGCTCGTTTCTGCTCTGCCCTAGAGGAACATGCTGCAGAGTGGAGTGCTTGGTCTCTCTGACACATCAGAAGAGCCTCTTCTGCAGCATTGCTGCCTTTGGATAAAATGGAGACAAGCTAACACAGTCCTGTCTATCAAGACATATTTCTTCCTGTTACTCTTGACTCTGTTTTACTGTCTTTCAGAAAAAGCTACTCTTTTGTTTCACCCTTTCTGTCTTGAGCCACTGCTGGACCATAATTCTCATCTTTAGAGGTGACTGGAAGTCACCATTTCATCCAATGCAAAGCAGCTGCCCTGAACTTGCACTGAAGTCTCTGGGAAGAAGTCAGCTGGTGCGCTCAACTCCTTTAATTACATCTACATCTTCAGCGCCCACGTCGTGCATTTGTCAAAGATCATAGGGCAAATGGTAACAAAAAACAGAGGCGAAAGAAGCCGTTCTTTGCACAGCTCCATCAGGAATGTAAGTCTACGTGCTCTGGAACAACTGCATTGGAAAACTCACGCAATGGAGCCAGACCATCAACTGGGACCCCACTCTTCTAGAAAGTGAAATCAGCCGGCTCTATTTCCAGCCCACTCTCCCCTTGGGTATGGGAACAACAACGGTGACTGGGATATACGGAGAGCTGTGCCTCCGTCCCTGCCTGCAGTTGCACTTCCCCTCCAGACAGAAGCATTCTGGTTCCCATACAACACCCGTTAGGAAGTTATGCTGAACTATCTCAGCCTGTCTCATGTCATCCTTTTACACCACCTACTACTCCTTGGTGACAGAAGGGATCCCGTAGGCTTACCTAAATTCCACCGGGGGTGGAGGCAGGCTGTCATCTGGGAATGAAGGAGGTGGTGGCACAATAGAGTCAGTCTGCGGCGGTGGCGGGTAGCAGTTCACGTCCATGCTTTCATTTGAACCGATGCTGCCATTCTGATACACCATGTTAGAGGGGTACCTGAGTGAAAGCAAGACAAGCTATTTATTTAAAGAGTTCAAGGCAATGTCTAAGGCTCATTTTTTCCCCTCACTCACAAGGCTTTGCCTCCTGGAAGGGTTACAACGAACAACTGTGCAGCAGTTCAACCACCGAACAGCAGTGATATTAACCACGTGGATGGATCAACCTGCAAGATTTAGAAATGAGGTTTTCTAGCTGGAATGGCTTTTCCCAGCACAGTGGGACCTGCCTTTAGATGGAACCTTATCAACTACCACAACGGGACACACAAAACAAAACCTTAAAGCAACATTTTAAAAAAAAAGTCTCTATTTCTCAAAGCATCCGATATGAAGAACCATTTACAGCTGTATTACTTTGCTCTGCATCATTCTTTGGCTAGAACTTGCCCAGATGCTCTCATGTTTGTTTATTGCTATCACACACCAGAACAGCATAAGTATATATTTCAGTGAGTAAGAAAATACCAGAATAAAAAAGATATTTCTCTTAACATTCAATTATAGAAAAAACACTTAAGAGCGTTTTGACCAACTTGGACTTGAAGGACTTCCAGTTACACTGGGCATCATCAGTGGCAAAAAAAGAAAAGGTACTCAAAGATGCAAAAAAAAAAAAAAGCTTAGGAAGACAGTATCAAAAAGAACCCAAGAAACAGCAATGCTATTAAAAGCAAGTATCCAAAGCTGAAATAGTACTGAAGGAAGAGACCACTCACACTCAACTTTCAATGAGCTCATTTCACTGTGGGATTGTGGAACCACCCCATTCTTGGGGGCTCTGGACCTCAAGAGAATTCAAATGCATAAACATGCTTACACGAGAAGAGAGAGGAGCAAGAAAACAGTGCTGTTGTGCTGCTCGATTCCTCTGCTAGAAACCAAACCTGTTCTCTTATTAAACTAAAAGCAAGTTTTATTTTTAGCTGGAGAGTGTGATTTAAAAGAGAGATTTTTCTTATATGAAAGGAAACTGCAAGGAGCGAGCAAACGAGAAGTGCATTGTGGGGAATTCAGTCTGCTTCCAGCCTCGCTGGTGTCAAAAGTTAAATGAATTCCCAAGCCAGAAGCACTAGAGAGATCTGTAGCTTGAAATACTTGGTTGGGGACAGCCCCCGCTTCAACTTTAGGGTGTGAAGAGCCATTTGTGAAATGTAACAAAAGCAATCGCACAATACCACCGAGATGCCACCCCGCTCCTCAGTGTAAGGCCCAGAGGCGAGGCGTGACGGGAAGGGCACCGCCATGGGGTAGAGAGCCAAAGCTCTCAACACTTCTGTGCCCACAAGACAGGCAGCCGAGAGCAGACTTGCTACCGAAGCTGTTCCTGCCACCTTGTTCAAGCCATGTAGCTCCCTGATTTATTTAGTAAGTTTTAAATCAGCAGACGGATTTACTTTGGAGAATCTGATTAGTGGCAGTATCGATCCGCACTGTGCAGCGGATCTGGAGAAGCTGCAGAGCAGGGTGAACTGCATTACAATCAACAACGCCCGCCCGCTCCCCCTCGCTGGGGAGCTGAACAGAGAGCCCCAGACTTGCTTACCCGGCAGGACCGTGTTTGTCCTTTGACTCAACAAATTCTTGTCCCATTTTCAGCTTCTCCCACTCTTCTTTCCGGGTTTTGATTTTCCGCGGATTCACATTTCCTCGGTTCGGATTCTCCTTTTTCTCTTTCTAAGGGAGGAGGAATCAAACAGAAGCCTTATTTTGCTTTAAGCTCACTGGGAATAGGGAGGGATAGGACAGACCTGTAGCAGTTTCAAGAAGATACAGTCTCAAAGAGGGCCAGGATTTTTAATTTACTTTCCTGACTGCTGCCAGCTCCAAAAATCTCCCATACAAAGAAGCTGGAGCACAGATAGCATTAAAAAAAAAAAAAAGACAGACAGCATCAGATTTCCCCAGTGCAGCCCAGACATGATGCCATCGTTACTCCCTGGTATGACCCAGGTATGACTCCCTGGTATCACCTTGAGGGCAGAGTGAAAGCTCCGTTTCCCACATCAATTCAGTTTTTGGCCTCTCTGTTAAGACTGCCAAATCTCACCATTACCTTGCTGGTGATAAGTGCTTTGGGTGTGCAATGTGGACACAAAGAACAGGGCTTTAACTAGCCTCGTTCTCTGTATTCTGACATGTCCTAAATCTCTCCTTTGTTATTTTGATTGAAAAATCATGGTCTGTTTTGGTATTTAGTACTCCAGTTGCTCAAAAGCTAAATAAAGTAAGCTCAAACCGAATCTTTTACGGTGTAAGTTTTGGCGTTCGCAAACATGGGTCCAAATCCCCAGGCAACCAAACCAGGAACTCTACCTGGCATTTTCAGCTTAAGTGGTTTTGTTAAGCCTCCTGCTTGCCCCTAATTTAACATTAGGGCCTGGTTTTGCACTCCTGAAGGGAAATTTTCTCCTTCCTTTATTCTTCCACAGTAGAATTTATTACAGCACTCAACACACTGCGGTGCTGGGGTAGTGGGATTTGCACTACTTCAACACTGAACATACCCCCCTATGCAACATCAGAAGTGCAGAAAAGACTCTGACACAACCTTTTCCCCTGCTGACGGTACCAGCACTATGTTTGAGGACTACAGATTAAACCATTATAACCATACAAAGACGGTGGCATTTGGAAAAACAGATTAAGGATATCTTTGTTCTCATTTTTTAATTAACAGAGATGCGAGTAAAGCAGAAAAGAGTTTCACTGAATTGATCCCTAAAGAGTTTGAGAGAGCAAACCTGAATTTTGGATAGCAACTTTGGAGTCCAAGATTCATCAACACTTCCCACCTCGTATTCTTCCCCGACATGCCTCTGTTGGCAGAGATCTCCCATTTCCTCACCCTATGTTTCCGCTTCTCTTTCATAATATCCTTGGTGTCCTGAAGCATTTTCTCTTTCCAAAGATCAAAGAAATACGAAGGATCTGTGTAGAATTTAAGTGCTTCTTTGCCATCGTCCCTAGAACGGGGGGGGGGGCGGCGGTGTTGGAAAAAAGCACAGAAACAAGGACTAAGTCACACATTTGTTTGAAGCCCAAAGAAAACACAAGGCACAAGCCCAGAAGACAGTTTAAAAGTCTGCAGTGAGAAGGTCACACACACACTGCTCTCGCCTCTGTCCTCCATTTCAGAACAGGCAGTGGACCCACAGCCTCACTTGTCCCAGCTCTCCCACTCACTTGCCATCGCTTTTTTCCTCACACAAACTCTCCATTACTCAGCACCTGAAGAGCTCAACTGCTCTGAACAATCACCAAGAGATCAGCAGGTCTCTCACTTTAACTCCCACTTGTTTGTGTCATATTTTTAGTGTGAAAAAACCCTTCTGCAGCCCAGGAACCCTAAATCAGACCAGCAGTATCCTTGAAACTCATGAGCGAGCACACACACACACTCTCTCCTCCTACTTTGCAGTGCAGCTGTGTCTGGCAGAAGACAGCTGCCTCCAGCTATCTGTAATTACTTTTTACCTGTTCAAAAGATATTTATGGATGTGGGCTAAGTCTCTGTATTCTGACCCCCTTTACTTCTACTACCTACAAGATGAAATCAGAGCGGGACTGCTCAGGAGAACTGGTTACACAGCCAGCATAGGTCACATCAGGTGTCTCAAACCAGGCGCAGAAGGCCACAAAAAGCATCTCCAGACCTACAGGAGTCTGCTGCACCCACCTGGGTCGGAGCCATTTACAGATGTATGCTCCGCAGTTTGCACTGCGGCTTTCTGGAAAGGAGCCACAGGGCTACAGAGAAGCACAAGAAAAATGCATCATCTGCACAACACCTAGCACATTTCTGCAGTGCCAGCCAAGCCTTGCCCCAAGGCAGTCACGAAAGTGACAGCAGGTAACCAAATATGTAATTTTCTAGCTACGCTCATTTGTACAGCCCCAAAAGCAAAGTTTCACATAATCCAGAGGATGGAGATTTCCTGGTGGATCTCAGTTCAGCAACTCTGATTTCCCATTGGAAATGGCTACTACAGCACGGGATGGGAAATGACCTCCTTGGCAAGTTGGAAGTGGTACTCCTCTCCAAGGGAACAAGGGGCCAAGAAGGTGTTGCAGCCATACCTGTAAGGTGAGAGAATGTTGAGAGGTGGAGGAGTATTGCAGGTCCTATAGGTTTCAAGGACAGGCACGGGGAGCGAATCTCTGTCAAAGAGCTTCTGGTCCTGAGTAGTGGAGCTTTTGAAGGCCTTCCTGGTGTTAATGCCTTGCAGGGAGACTGTAAGAAAGAGGAGAGAGCAAGTGAAGAACAGCTTGACCCAGGCCAATGACACTGAAGATCAAGTAGCGAACATCTGATTTCAGTTGGGAGTTCTTGGCATGCTTAGCACTTCTTAAGGTCAGGTTCCTTTTCCCACAGATCTCTTGGGAAACCCGGCAAATCTCAGATCATGCCATGCCAAGATCCACTGCTGTACAGACACGGCTCTCTTGAGAGTTGCCGATGTGGTTCTGAACCCCTGTGACCAAGACTCAAGAAGTGCACCATTATCAAACTGCTGAAAAGTGAGTTTCCACACGGAGACTTGCTAACAAACAAATCTAGACTTGGCCAGAAAGGCTATCCACATGACCATCCCCCTTTTTCAGGAGGGGAGGAAACCATCCCTCTTAGTCCAAGAGAAGACATTCCAACACCCACCACAGTGTCATGCTCATTTTATGGCCGTGAACCAACCACGCTGACTCAATGAGAATCTTTACCACGCTTGGTCTGCAAGGACTGTGCTCCACTCCATTACCTTCTTCCTCTTTGGGATCCAGCTGAGTGACTTTGACTTGCAAGCGGTCAACTCTCTCAACTAGAACGCTCATTCGAGAGGCAAAGGTGTTGGCTTGAGTAAACAATTCTCCAAATATGTCTTCTGCAAATTTACCTGGAAAATTAAAGTGTCCACATTACCCTCATAAGCAACGTCAGGCCATATTCTGTCTCCCAGCTTGTCTTCTTGAAGGAAGGAAGGAAGAAAAAAAGAAAGAAAGAATGAACCATGCTTCTTTTCAAGTTTGTCAGGGTTGAGTTGAACATCCAGGAAGAAAACACTCTGTTCCACCAAAACCTGACATTTCCAAGGGGTCTTCAAGCAATAAAGAAACAATTGAGACATACTCTCAAGTCATTATTAAAGTAATGATTAAAGTAATGAAATAAAGAGGGCTGACAACACTATACTGGTCTGAATCTGGACGGGCCTGTAGGTCCTCTAAGATTCTCTGGTGTTCTGTTTATTAGACAAGCAAACAGTTAGATTTTTACTGCTCTGGAGAATCTCAAAGGCTCCCAGTCTCCAGCAGGCTTGCCTCCAGGGTAACTGGCACATATTTACAAGCTCAAAGTACTCTGCAACTGGAGAACAGATCCAGTCCTTGATCTTAAAGCCTGAGCTATAACCACAGACGAAAGCACTGACCCTTTTGTTCCTTCAGGTGGCAGTGTCTGAAAAATTGATGCATTCACGTTTATTCTAAATCAAAACCAAAGGGGAACTTCTCAAACAGGGATATTCTCCCTCTAACAGCTTGGATTGCCCATGGGGCTGCTATGACAAACACCATCCATCATTTGGACCGTTGAGAGTGCCTAGGGGCTTGGATCAGGAGCTCGCTGCACCACTCACATATGTAACAAAAAGATGTCCCCTGTCCTTAACAGTTTAAAATCTACGCATGCAACAAGAGTTGACCACAGGTAGGCAAAGATGGGAGAACTGGAAGGAAACCAAGAACTTACAATGAGTACTGTCTTTTTGTTCTGCTGTCAGGCATAACTCAAGACAGGGAGCCCTAACCACGACGAGGACAACATTGATCAGAACAGACTTGGCACGGACAGCAGACATAGGCCCATGGAGTTCCTACTGATGGGAAACATTTCCAGCCACGGCTGTTGAGTACAAGGCTGCTCCCAATAAGCAGTCTGGTTTTGAAGTGCCTCATCATATGGTCAACAGTTTGTTCTGGAATCTGTTACTCCTAAAGATCCTCTCCAACATTCAGGAAAGGATAACCAGTTGGAAGCCTAACTTTAACAACAATTTTGGAAAATCTGGTTGTCTGCGATGACTCACATCAGAAAGACAAGCGCCCCTTCCACAAGGCAACGCGAGGGCATCCCCCAAAGCCCAGCTGCACAAATACTTTCAGCTATCTAAACTGACGTATCAGCTGCTTGTTCATAGTCCTATGCAGTTCTCCTTACACCGCCAAGCACGGGGAACCAGCCAGGTTAAAAATCAACCTCCTCCACCCCTGTGGTGGCAATGGCAGCTTGAAGTGTTTGTAGAAAGCAAATGCTGGACGTTAACTTCAACTGACTTCTCCCTTTCACTCTCCTAGACAGCACAGTCTCCACATAATGCTCCATTAACAAGCCCAACCAGCTTTCCTCAAACTCATGAGAAGGATTTTATTTCTGGAGACCTAAGGGGCAAGCAGCTCTTGCGACAGTCATGAAGCACTCTGTATTCAACATCAGCACAAGACCGGCTCTCCTATTTGACCAAAGAGAGTGAACATTCATCTACAGTATGATTTGAACACCTCCCAGCAACAGCCCAAAAGAGAAAAGTTTTAATTCAGTTTCCATTTTAATGAGAACTGATAATCATTTCTGAATTTCACAAGGAACTGCAACAAGCACTGAGGGGGGGCGGGGGGGACGGGGAGGAGGAGAGAGTAAAGTCTTTGGTTTGCAATGCTGAGTAGTATGTTTCAAGCATAAAATAATATATAAACAGCATTGCATATACCGGTCTTGACCCTGGAGGGAAAAAAGGGATGGTTCATATTCCCTTGCCTGTGTAAGTTCACCTGTACAGCGTTACGATCCATCTTATCTTGCATACCGTTCTGTGTTTCACGTACACGTTTAGACAGGGTAAGGCAGAGATTAATTTTTTGGTTTAGTTACTTTGACTGCAAAAGTGCAGCTTACAATCAGAATTATCTTTGTCATGCACTGGCAGGAAGACAGACGGCATGATTTAATAGGTCTTTCCATCTTTAGCTTGTGGATTCTATAAAATCACACAGAAACGCACAGTCGACTTATACAAAGTGCTACCAGCTGTGATAGTAACGAAGGGTAAACTCACTGGAATATGAAAGTTTGACAAGATTTATGTTTGCATCTTTGTAAAAAGACTGCAGTGCACTAGGCATGGCTGATTATTCACTTGACAGGGCTGTCACAGCCTACTGAACCTGCTTTACGTTCCTGTAACGTTCGACATACGAGGAAGGAGCGGATTTATTTTTCAGAAGTAAGAAGAGGAAAGGGGGGGTGGGCAGGAGTTTGGTCATTTGGGTGTGAGCATTCTGTAGCAGTTAGTCTAAATATTGCTTCATTTAAAATACTGCTGACCCTAGGGAAGAGGGTAAGAGACGGTGCTCAGCATTTCCTCCCCACCTGCCTCGCTCCCCTCTTACAGAGGCAAGCACGCAAGCGTCAGCGAGAGCCACCTCTCCCGAGTTTCCCCTGCAGCGCTCTCCTCGAGGTATCTGCGATTGGTCCAGCGGCACGCACCTCCCTCCCCACAGCGCCGAGCGAGGCTCCCAGGGTACTTTCCCAATAAAGAAACTGGGCTGCAATTTGGCTTCCAGCACTTCACCCTCTCCGACAAGGCAGAAGCAGAGAAGCTTTGAATACCTGAGCCGCGCAAAGAAGGTCTAAACCTGAAGGATCTCACCACGGCTCTGTCACACTAACCCGCTGCATGCCTTTGGACTGGGATTAGCTTTGTCTGCAGCTGAGATGTGCACAGCTTTGCTGCCTTCTTCCTCATCATTTCACATGCACGAGATGGATTTTACTCACACTCCACAATCATCTTGGCTACAAGACCTAACAAATGAACAATAAGGGCCAGTTGAACGCAAGCAGAGAGACCAGCCTTGCCTGTGCAGTGACATTTCTACAACCCAACAGAACGCGATACCGACTGGCAGCAAACACAGGCCCAGATTTTAGCGACAGCCATGGTTTTCACTGGTGGAAAGAGACTGCACCCAAACTTTCCCCTGCCACATTCACACTATGGCAGAAGACAAGGGGCTTGCTTTGCAGAGCAAGCAGAAGTGCCTGCAGACACCACAGGGAAGCTGAACAATATATTAATTTGATTATCAAAGTCTTGCTTTGCAAGGGCAAAGGTGGCTAATCAGAATCCAGAGCATTTCAACAGAGTAAGGAGTCATCCCGGAGAGACCACAATTAACTCTTCGTTTCTCCTATGGCACGTAGGCCCACGTTTTCCCTCCAGCCTTCACAAGGCTATTGGTCAGCCCACTGGAGAGCTGAGCTAGGCATCGCTACAGCTCATGCTGCCATTTGAGCGAGCAGCCCCAAACCCCCAGTGCTCAAGAGGCAACACTTGGCTCAGACTGGGGACTTTGGGTCTTGCAAGGCAACAAAACAGCAAGGGCAAACAGGCAGCTTCTGCGTGTGCGCTTTAATTATCTTTCATTAAAAATAAGACTACTGACATACTGTAGATTCAACACAGTCAAGCTCCATTTAGTAGCGCGTGCAATTACAGGCACATTCTCTGACACAAGATCCTGGCTGCTCAGAGAGCCTCCCATTTTACAAGCCCGAGTTGTGCTCCATCCTTCCATCTGCAGTTTCACTGCAGCCGCTCACACACATGCACACCCCTCGGCCCCCCCCCCCCCCCCCCCCCCCCATTTTCTCTTAGCTGGGAAAGCAGTGGGACCAGGGATATGAAATTAGCATCAGATTTCTTTAGGAAAAGATTTTAGCATTACCCAGGGAAGGCAGATGGGGGAGAAATAGGAACACCAGAGTAGAAAGGGAGCTAAATAAAGAGCACGAGCGACTCCTGAGGGCAACGCGCAGGCTCGCCATGGTACTCACTCAGGCTGCCCAGCTGTCGAATGACATTTGCCAGGGTGATGTTGGTCATGCATTCCAGCTCGCTTCGAACGCTAGGCAACGTCTGACGGCACAGGTGCCTTGGCTCAATGTTCCTCGTTACTAACGGCATGGTGGACCTGCTTCAGGCACTGTTCTGAAAGATGAAAAACAACCCAAAAAAGAAACAGGAAAGGATTACTCAACCGCAAATTCCAGGCACACCAGAGCCATGGTGTTCGTTTTTCCTGCTCTCAAATGGCTTTATTTATAAGCCTGCTTTCCCCCTCCCCACCCTTATAGAACTGGTTCATCAGAAATAAAGATCCTGCTGTTCTGTGACTTGCAGTGACAGCAAAGCCCCACCAGCTCAGGTACAGAGGCAGAGATGGAAAACTACACGTCTTCGCCCACACGCAAGGTGCTGCTGGCATTACCGCAGCCGTTGTTCTCTTCCTACCCATCCACCGCCTCTGAGCGGTCTCCTTCCTCCCGCGCTCACGCACAGCGTCTTTGGCGAGTCTTACAGGCTCTTCTTCAGAAATATTTTAAACTTGCAATCCATAGGTTTGCTTAAACCGAGAGGATGAAGACGGGAGATGTTAAAAAAAAAAAAAGCCGCCAGCTTCTTCCAGCACACCAAAGCATGCATGGTGCCTCCCTCTTGGAGCAGCACAGACAGGGCTCTCCTGAAACAACAGGAAGCGCTTGCAGCTGACCAGGAAACTTTCTGGTGACTGTTCCTTATCCTGCAGGCTGCACCCCTCTTCCCTTGGGAAATCCCCCAGGGCCAAGGTTTACACTGGACCATTGTTTCCCTGCTACAGCAGTTTAAAGTTGAAGGAGCTCTAATCAGGATGCCGGACTACAGCACGCTCAGAAATTGATTGTACAACAGTCTGGACAAACTTCCAGTTCTTTCTTAAAAAAAAAATAAAAAAGAAAACATAACTGTCCGGAAGTTATGCTTTAGACAGAAAATGCTTTTATGTGCAGGTCAGTGCCTTGAACTAACAAAAATCTCCTTTGCTAACAGGCCGAAACGTTGAAGCAACAAACAGCTCCCTCTCAGATCGTCCGCCTCCAAGAGAGAGGAGGAAACTTGGGTAAACAGAGCTCAGAACAAGGAGCATGATACATGCCTGAAATCTTTAAGACTAAGTGAAAGCAAATACAACCCAACTTCTTGATTAATTTAGAAGGGGAAAGAATCACTTTTCTAGGTCAGCTGAGGAACAACCCAAGAGAAGCAGCCAGCTCCCATGTGATAGGCATGCTGATCTGCTTGGGCTGGGTGTAAAAATAAAACAGGAAGCCAACAGCTTGGGGAACATCGCTTCCTGTCACCAACAGCAAAAACCCAAGAACCATAAAAAATCAGCTGTTTGCTCTTGACTTTGAGCCACCCTTTGATAGTCTCTGTGGCAGCTGGCAGCTTATCTTTGAGGTCCAGGAGTCCTTCCTGGATGCTTTTCTATCAGGGTGTTAAGAGGAAGAAGTGGGCATTATCCCTCCTAATTACCTCACAAGCCAGATTTTGAATTGCTAAATTTGACCCATTAAGGCAGAGGAGTTCAAGAGCTGCAGCATACGGGAAGCACGGGTATCTCCCAGACAAACAGATGTAGCGCTGCCATTTTGCAACACCTCTACACGAGGGATTTCGCGTGCTTGTCCCTGCGCAAGGAAAGGGTCCCCAAAATCCTACACCTTATAGAAAAGGTGAGTGAGATCTGCAGACAAATAAAAACAGAGACTCTCTGAGGTCTGAAGTCAGTGTTGCTCTTCACCGTGTCCAAGCACTGCAGCAGCCATCAAGTAACTGCTGGGATATTTAAAGAACAGGGTGAACTAAGGAAGGACTCTGACCTTCGCTTCTAAATACCCTGTGTTTTATCGATTACAGCCCAAGCCCTACAATCTTTTGTCAGCTTTAGCGCTTTATGCCAGACAAACTTTCCCAGCTCCCCCCAGACTGCAGTCTGCACCAACAAGCAGCTCTCATAAACAAGGCAGCATTTGCAGGCTGCCTGCATCGAGCTTCTCCCCCGTGCTTCCCCAGGGCTCGGCCAGAGAGCACACGCGGTGGGATCTGCAGAGCTAGAGAGGACACTGCCATCCACCAAGCCCGGCTGGAAACCTTCCAAGGCGCAGGACAGACAGAAGGAAAACAGCAAGAGGAAAAATAAGCCTGTAAGGAGGATGAAATGGGAGCATGCATGTATTAAAAAGGGGGATAAAACCAACCCAAAAGAGACGACAGGTATGCCAGGTCAGATAGACACAGGCAGCACTAACCTCTGCAGGTATGAGGAGAACAGGGCAGAAAACGGAGTAGTGCCCCAAATACCCATAAATAAAGGCTCAGAATATACTGTCTATATACAGCCCCCCTGAAAGCATTTGCCTTCAAAGCATGTTTTGAAACTAAATGCAAGGAGTAGTGGTGAAAGACACTTTTTTTGAGAAAAATAACAATGGTACAGCACACATACAGTACAAATTTGCACCAGTGCAAGACAGCAGAGATAAGGGCTAAGAAAAACACTCCCTTTATAGCCTGGCTCATCCTGCCAGCCACCCCCACCCTCCCAGCACAGCCTGCCACACTCCACTGCAGAAGAGTTTCGCCCTCGTGATCGCTACGACAGCCTTCCTCGCAAAGAGTACGGCAGCATCGCTTCTTCCCAAGGCAACAGGGACAGCTCTGCTGCCCCGCTGCTGCTCCTAACACCAGGCAGGATCCAGCAACCCACAGTTAAACTAAAAGAAGAGATTAACCCCACAGAGCACTGGAGACGAGCAAGGTGGGGAGGACAGGGTGGGCTGTGGACAACCACTCTTCTGCTCTCCCAGCAGCCAGCAGCCTCTGGGATGAGAAGCATTTTAAAGCAAAATTTCCCCTCCTCTGAGCCAAAGAACAAGGAGCTTCAAGGTTTCAGATATTTTTATAGGGTGGAGGCAGGCAGGTAGGAAATCTGGGACCTACAACCAGAGCCTGGTGCCAACATCAGTGAAAAGAGCAGCCACCATCCCCACAAGAAAACACCTCACTGTTGGACATCGTTTTTCTCCATCAGTCTTTGGAGGGTGGGTATAGAGATAACAGCTAATGGTCTCCTGTAAAACCTTCATGTTTCATGAGTAGGTGGGACAAAGATTAATAGTCTAGATTGGAAAAGAAGTGGTGTATTTCGAAAGCAGCAGTCAGGAGGGGCAGAAAAATCGAGCGTGGAGAAGGGACAAGGTATGAGAGCAGAGGGAGAAGGAGGAAGCAGAACACTGGAAACAGCACAAGGCATGCAGCTGGGGGCAAGGAAGAAACACAGTAAATGAAACAAGGAAGGGACAGACCTAAAAAAGCTTTCCAGAAGGCTCTTGCTTTTCTTCTTTAAGAGAGTCATTAAGAAGCCGGCTGACAGCATGCTACCAGCCAGAGCCATCCAGAACCACTTTACTTTCAGTGGTCAGGGCATGACAGCACAGCAGTTTTCCACCCCAGCTAGCCAGACTGGTCATCAGGCATTAGTCACTGCCACGTAACTACCGCAGACCATATATTATAGCTAAATCCTGCCATTCAGAAGCAAGTTAAGGGAATTGTGAGGCCAAAAATCCTTATCTTTTGGGCAAAGATAAGCATTTCCACTTCCTTACTAATGCTGAAGATTAGATTAGTTTCAGTACTGGAGTTTGGGGTGCGTACGCTGTTTTTAAGAAGCTGCAAGAATGGCATGCCATGGGCACGGAGGACCTGTCCCGATCCCACCGTAATGGGAGAAGAGATAAAATACATTAGAAGTAAAAGGAAACTGCCTCCAAGAAACAGAAAACTGTCTGCAACAGATTTATAATGAATATGGAAAAAAAAGAAAGGCATCAAATTGAAACCCAGCGCTAGCTAAGTGAGGAAAGAAGTTAAGTGATCTTTGCTGACTGCAGAGCACTGCTGGTTGGGAGAGCCGTAAGGAAATGGGCCAACGCTTAAGCCAGTCGTGTGCCAAATCCACACACACTGCTGCATCAATCGACGTTCAAAATCCTCATCCTCCCAACCGCCGTGCTTCACACCTTCTTAAAAACAAGAAGCAAGGGCTTTTGTTACGGTAACAAATGATTTTTCTCTCCCACTTGAATCAGAAACTTCCTACCTGCTCACGGCAAGCATTTCCTCAGAAGTCTCCAAGTCACGGCTTGAATCAAAGAAGGCTCCAAGCCTTGTTATGACGGCAGTGACTAAAAGCCAAGCCATCCGAAAAGCCCAGCTTTGCCCCGTAGCTCTTTTCCCCTCGCCACCCCGCAGCTGTACGCTGCCCTACCTCCAGCCGGGCATTGCCAGAATTCCTCATAATTTCCCCTCTCCTGAAATGCTTACGCATGCGTTGCCGAGCCCTGGCCTGCTCCACAGCCCCACGCCAGCCCAGAAAAAGTTTGCTGAGCACGACAAAAGGCCTGGAAGCTGAGCTCACCACTCCTACATTCCTACCAATCTTCCAGCCACAACTGGCATTTCGTTTCCCGGATTCACCAAGCTTTTGCTCCCCGTCACCCCTTCTATCAACTCCTGTGCCTACTCACCGCACGCACAGTGGTCTCAGGCACCTCTTACTTCTCCAAGAAAGCAGGATCCATGCATAGCGCTTCTTCACACGGCTGCCGATCTGACACCCCGCTCCCTCCACAATAAGCTTTCACCTTGAATGCCTTGCTCATCAGTTTTAAGTGGATTCTGACTTTGACAATTATTTCTGTAAATACTCTTGGGACACTGGAGAACAAGCGTGGCGCAAGACAGGCCCGTAAAGGGGGGGAAAAAAAACCCAAACCCGCAACTTGCAATTTTCGCCTTTCCAAATCCAGCACTTTGAGCAAAGCACGAGGTAAATTCAAGATCAGCGTGCTGCTGTAAGATTTCTTATCAGGAAGTCATCGACCGCTCTCCCCATGAGCTCTACTGTAGCAGATCACTCTGGAATCCCAGTTCTGGATTAGAATCAAGTACAATTGGTTTGTTTCAAACAAGATCTGCCAGTCTATAAACCCCTCACACAAAGCTGCATCTTATTGATTATTTTTAATAAATAGGGCTGGCACAGTAAAATTGGACAATTGTTGTGAACAATAAAGGAGACAGACTTTGATTACAAGTATTGAGAAG